ATCCTGGAGGCCACCTGGCCAGGCCCTTGCCCACGTCCAGCTCCCCAGCGCCTGAGACGGCCCCACTGGACCCGCACCTCGGGCCCCCCTTCTACCGCTGTGAAGGAGGGGACCTGGACCGCTCGCCTGCCCGCGACTCGGCCCCTCCCGCAGGGCCAGGGGAACCGCTGGGCAGCCCTGGCCGCAGTGGACCCCGCCCTCACCTTGGGGCGACCCTGCATGGCCCACCCCTCCTGCGGCCACGGGAGCAGGGCCCGAGGGCGACCCCCACGAGGGACTTGGGTGATGCTGGGGGGTGTGGGGGCCCCACACAAGTCCAGGCCTGTTGACAGAGACATGGACCAGACCCTGGGGGTGCCCACGGCCATCAGGGGAGCAAGGCAGCGCCTCACCGCGGAGCAGGACATGTGACCCAGCCTGGACGCTGGAGAAGGGCGTCTCCCGAGGGCGCTGGCCCCTCCGGGTGGGCAGCTGGGCAGTGTCTGCCTGGCACGTGGGCAGGGCCTCGCTGGCCCCTGCCGCCCTGGCCACTCTCCAGGCCACATCTGTCCCAGGACAGCAGAGGCTGAGGCGGGAGGCGGGTCCGGGTCCCTGAAGTGTGATGGGCAGGAACGGCGCTCCGGGCAGCCCTGCGGAGCTGGCCAGGAAAGGGCCAGCTGGGCAGGTCCAGGCTGGAGGCTGAGGCTGCCGCGTGCCCTAGGCAGCAGGGAGTGGGGCGCTACAGTCACCCTCTGCTGCCCGTGCCCCTCCCCCCTCGAGGCGGGAGGCGCGCCGCTGGTGGTCCACAAGGTGGACGCGTCCCTGCGCCCGGTCAGCGCAGAGGGGCTCAGCTGCCCCGCGTCCCACACGAGCCGCCTCGCGCCCCCCTCGGCTCGCAGCTGATAAGAGGCGCCGGTTACCTGGCAACGGCAGCGGAGATTAGCGAGACCGCCCTGCCCCCCGCTTATCTCGGGCCTGCGGGGAGCCTGGGCCTGGGGGTTCCGGTGGGGAGGGGGGTGCGGGGGGGCACAGGCAGCCTGGTGGGCAGCGGCGCTGAGTCCCCCCACTGCCCTCTCAGCGGGGTGGGGCGCGAGCCGTGGGCAACCCTGGGCACTGGCTGCCCGCCGCTGCCCACCGAGTCCTGCCCGTTGCTCGCTCGCTGCGTCCAGTGTTCGCTGCCAGTGCAGACAGGCGCAGAGGGCGGAGGCTGCCGGAGCGTCCAGCAGGCAGGAGAGAGGGGAGCCCCTGCCCTGGGGGCCCCCTCCGGCAGCGCCCCCCAGGAGCCGAGGCTTCCAGCAGCCTGGAGCCCGCCTGGCTCCCTCCCCGCACCGGCTCAGCGCACCCGGCCCAGCCGGTGGACAGCCGATGGAGCCAGCAAGCCTGCCGCGCCCAGGGGCCCCCTGGCGGCACAAGCTTCGGGGTGCCTGACCTGTCAGTCCAGCTCCCCGTGCCAGTCGGCACCACCTCCCGCACCCCGCACCTCCCCCCCAGGGCCTGAGCCCTGGGCCACACGTCTGCTGGCCACGCGGACACCGGCAAGTGGGCGGGCAGCCTGGGAGGCAGCTGATGGCCACAGGGCGGGGCCTCCGGTTCCCTGTTGGGGGCCGTGGCAGCGCCTCCTGCTGGGGAGACCCCGGGGCCGCTGCACCTCCTCCCTGAGCCGCTGCAGGAGGGCCGGCTGCCTGCTGGCCGCAGCTCCAGCCCGGAGGGGCATCTCGCTGAGGCTGGACAGGTGGGGCCACCCTGGGGGCTGGCCCTCAGGATGGCGGCCACTATGGGGTGTCCACCTCAGGGCGGGGTGCCACGGGGCGGGGCGATGGGGCTCCCTTCCCCGTGTCCGTCCACTTCCTGCTGGGCCTGGGGCTGCCCTGGGCCAGCAGCCTTCAGGGGGCCCCGCTTCTAAGGACTGTGACCGTCCCAGCGCTCTGGGCCCTGAGGAGAGTCCGCGGCGGGTCTGACCTGGCGCTGGAGGAGGGAGGCGCCTGGCCGGCAGAGGGGGGCCCTCCGCTCAGAGCCGGGGAGTGGGCCTGCCTCCCCCGCAGCAGCCGGCGGAGGCCTGGGGGGGCCCTGGTGCCCCCCTGCGAACTCAGTGTGACCACAGTGTGAGTTCCTGGGCGCCCGCGGGGGGCGGGGCGGGCGGGGGCGGGGGTGCCCGGGACCCCAGCTCTCTCCAGCGCTGTGCGCCCCCGGGGCGCCTGCGTGGCGTTTCTGCCCCGGGAGCGGCGCTGCCATCTCTCCACGGCCGGCTGTGGGCTCGCCGGCCGGCCACCCACCGTGGCCGAGTGTCCGGTGGGGCACCCGAGGCCAGGCGGGTCTGGAGGGGAGTCAGGCGCTGGGGGCGCTCCGGCAGGGGAGGACCCCACACTGCAGGAGGCGGCCGCCAGGGGTCACTGCTGCCGCTTCCGCCAGCCCAGCAGTGGCTGGCCGGGATGGGGCGAGGGGCGGGACGCCCTTCCGAGGGCCGGCGCC